ACCGCCCCTGGTCGAGCAGGCGCGTTACAATTGGCGAAGCGGTTCCATAACATGTGGTTCTAGTGTCGGCCCTCGCGAGGAATGTCTTAAAAATGATAATCCAAACTCAATTAATCATGGCACCTCCACAAGACGGCTTGGTGGGTTAGAAATGCTTAGAAATCCCACCACTGTACTTTTTTGTGCAACAAATCCTCAGTTCAGGCGTCCTGATTGGCTGTTGAAAGGTATCTCAGAATTCCCGGATTAAAGGTATAAATATCGTTAGTGTAAAAAGTCCAACACCGAAGGTGTTGCTCCGTACTGAAGTAATAGTACTGAAGTACTAGTAATCATTTTGGCCATCACCCATTTCCAATTTCCTTAAATCAGTACTCCGGATGATAATTTCTACATGGCGTGTGCTTTGTGAGCACATTTATTTGCATGACCAATTTGGCTATCAAGAGATTACAGTCGTGCCAGCTGTCGACTTCATCGACGACTAAGCGTACTTGGAGGTTAGCTACAGTACTGTAATTTCTATTGAGGTGAACGCGGGCAACACAGTGGTGGGGTTGAGAGGGGTTCGTATTACCCCTTTCAAACCAACGTTACAGTAAGGTGCTCAGTTAACAGTAAGGCGTAATTCGAAAGTGAAGAGATGCCTCTGCTTCATCGCACCAACCTAATGATTTATCGCTACATATGACGTCATGTGGCACAGACCAGTGTCAAACGGAAAGCAGCCAATCCAGTCATCCCCTGATTTTTGCAGCGGAAGTAAGAATAGCCGACTCTCCCTAAACTTCATGCAACTTGAACAGTTCTCAGCCTAGCAACCTGCAATTTTAAACACATATCAAACAACCATCGACACCCCACCACACATAAACAGCATGGGCAGAGGATTGCAACTCGACGAGTATCAGCGCGGCCAAATTTCAGTCTGGAAGGCCACCGAAAAATCTGTACTGTTCATGTCCAAGAGCTTGGAGAAGTCATGCAAGGCCATTTCCAACTACCTGAAGAACCCCAAGCCTGTGGAAAACGCTTTAAAGGCGGAAGGCCTCCTAAACTGAGCAATACCACCCTTCGACTCACGTTCCGCGAGGTCTCGAAAACAGATTTGTTGTCGTCCAAGTTCGTTGCTCAATTGGACCTACCTATCACCTCTCGTGCCGTACGATACAAGTTGTCCTCCAACACCGCGCAACTCGACGCTAGCGCTCACTGAGAAGCACAAGAGTGTGAGGCTGAATTTTGCATTGGAGCAGCTCCACAACCACACTAGTGAGACAAGATCATTTGGTCCGACGAGAAAAAATTCAATCTTCTCTGGGGACGGATTGTACGTATCGTTTACAGCAATGGCAAGCAATATGGGAACGTTGTGGACCTCAAGGTTGCGATCAAGCGTGCGTGTGCTGGAGTCGACGATTTGACGATAAAAAACTTGGTGGATTTGATACCACGCCGGTGCACGAGTGTCATTGTGATGGGTGGGGGCATGGCCAAGTATTAGTTCAACTTGATTGAAATTTTTGATTTCGTAACAATACATTTTACATCGTTGTGCTATTCTTTATTCCAGGTGCAAATATCAATTTTGTCGATTAATGCAATTTTTTTAGTTTGTACGACATCGAGATTGACTTCAATTGTAGTGTAATGTCATTTTAAGTGTTGTGAATGATTCTTGAGAGCTAGATGTTCGTGCAGATTGAGTAAACAAAAAAAAACCTCATGTGCTAATGTTTTTTCCAGCACTGTATTACGGATATTTGAAATCCATAACGTTATAAATAATTGGTACTTGAAGTAGTATCGAACTACTGCTGTAGTAGTTCGATACTTCGGAGTAGTTGGTAGTATCGAACTACTACTCCGTACTGTGGTAGTTCGATACTACCAACTACTCCGAAGTACTATGTAGTAGTACTACTTACCATTAGTAGTCTTTGCTCCATTATCAGCACAAACCAGACCCGATGGACCACCAAATTATACCCTCTACGTAAGGGCATCCGCAATACCTAGTATTACAGTAACACTTGTAACGTTACTGTAACGTTACTCTGTTTTTCACGTTTAGTCGCAAAGCTATCACCCAATCATCACCGTTCAGTCTCTGTTTTTCACGTTTAGTCGCAAAGCTATCAAGCAATCATCACCGTTCAGTCTCTGTTTTTCACGTTTAGTCGCAAAGCTATCAAGCAATCATCACTGTTCAGTCTGCTTTTCACGTTTAGTCGCAATGCAATCGACCGTTCGAGAACCTGCCAGGTCATCGAATGTCACCTGGGGGGGATAGCTGGTAGAGCATCGGTTTCTTAACTCAAAGGTCGTTGGTTCGACCCCCGGCTTCCCCGGATTATTCCCGCAGGATTTATCCGTTCCTCCTCCTGCTGAATCCGGATTACAAGGGAGGCGAGGACCGAACTTCGAAGAAGATCGATCGAAGCACGAGGTATGAAGCGCTGAGCGAAGTAAAAACCGAAGATTACACACCGCCCCTGGGCGAGCAGGCGCGTTACAGTTGGCGAAGCGGTTCCACAACATGTAACTGGTAGTTCTAGTATCGGCCCTCGCGGAGGAATGTCTTAAACAAATGATAATCCAAACTCAATTAACCAAGGCCATTACACCCCTCTACTGTATCAGTCTGAGAATTCCATCCAAATTTCTACCACACCATCACGAACCCTTTCCAAGGCGTTTTGGCAGCCCAAAATGCTATTCTTCATTTTTCATTTCGCCATGAAGTTCTTCCTCCTCAGTGCCATTGCCCTATTTGCGTCGGCGACCACCGCCCAAACCAACAACACCTTCACGGTTTTCGACGACCGCGCTCGAACGTTGATTGAGGAGGATGAATTTCTCTTGTTTTTCCAAAATGCCAAGGTAAACCGCGCTTGCCACGAACAAAACGCCAACTACATCTCGTCCCTCAAGGCCGGACAGTACTCGACCAGTGCGTTCTACAACTGCTTCCGCACCCTCGATCAAATCAACGAGTTCATCGATACCTTGGTCGCCCAAAACTCGAACTTGGTGAGCAAGTTTGCCATCTCTAAGACGTACAAGGGGGCCACGATTTACGGGTACAAGCTGACCAAAGGCCACTCGAAATCGCTGTACTTTCAAGCCCTGCAACATGCCCGCGAATGGGTCGCGGGGTCATCGATTCTGTTTTCGTTCTCATCGATTCTGGATGACATTGC